TTAACTTCACCACTCCACAGGACTTGTTCCCAAAAAGCATCAGGCTTGTTTAGATGTTTCTTTGCAAACTTCTGATGCTGAATTTTGTGGAGAGGACACAGGAAAGGTTTTCTTCTGATGACTCTTCCACGAAGGTCGTATTTGTACAGGTGTCCCTGCACAGTAGAACAGCGCACCACCACTCCAGAGTCTGATAAATCTTCCTGCAGGTCTTTCGCAGTCTAACGTGGGTTTTGATTTGCCTTTCTAACAATCCTACAAGCAGCTTCTTCGGAAAGTTTTCTAAGTCTTCCAGACCTCAGCTTGACCTCCACAGTTCCTGTTAACTGCCATTTCTTAATTACATTACAAACTGAATAAACAGCTACCTGAAAACACTTAGCTATCGTCTTATAACCTTCTCCTGCTTTGTGGGCATCAGTTATTTTAGTTTTCAGAGTGCTAGGCAGCTGTTTAGAGGAGCCCATGGCTGCTGAATGTTGAGACAAGGTTTCAGGGGTCAGAATATTTATAAAGCTTTGAAATTTGCATCACCTGGCCTTTCCTAATGATGATTGTGAACAAGCCATGGCCCTAACAAGCTAATTATGGTCTGAGACCCTGGTATAGGTTGTCTTAGAGCTCAAATGTCTTGGGGTGCCCAAACTTTCACATGCCACTGCATTTATAATGATACATATGTAATGATAATATAATGTACATATGTGATAATGTACAGCATGCCTCTATGTAATGCCTGGGTAATGCCTTATCCTGTCCAGGCTTATTTTGAGATAATGGTTGGCTCTTTTTGCAGTATTCCTTTAACGATACTACTTATTTCTGTTGTTTTCATGAACTTGGATACCACAGATCCAGGACTGCACCAGTCCAGCAGCAGAATCCTGTCTGATGTGGACCATAAGATCTCAGAGGATTTCAGAATGACTATCGACCTGGGCTCAGATTATGACGACTACAGTGGAGAATCCTCAGGGTAGTTTCTGACCAGAAGAATACCTCTTCAAGTGTGTCATATGTGGAACTACAGCGGTTGTATATTGGTATTAAGCGCAGGATGACTGTTATGATGACAGTGATGCTGGGGGTGGATCACTAAAGCTTTAAGATGTGGAATAAAAAACACTGCTTTGCTGACATAGAATGTAAGGGTCTTCTGGATTTAACACTTGTAACCAGAATCATGTAATCATTTTTTGTTTGTCTCTTTGTTTGTTTGTTTGTTTTCTGTAAAGGTTAAGCAGGGTTTAGTCCCAGAATGGAACAGAGACTTCCCAAAGTCCCAAACCCAATCCCAAAGTGGAGGAGAGCCACAATAACAATGAAATTGTCATTTAAGATTAGTCTCTTTTCTCTTAGTCGCTTTTTTATTAACCAGGTTTGATCAAGTCTACATTTATTATCCTACCACAAGATGTGGCAGAAGCTGGACTATTTATTAGGTACTGACACTCTGTTCACTTGCTAACTAGTTCTCCCACACAGCATGTGGTGTTATGGTGTTAAAACTGATCTGGGTTGGTGGGAGGTGTTTACTGTGCAGACACCTTATTGTAGCGGGTAGTTTATTTGTTACTGTGATAATAAATATACCAAAGATTCACCTAATATCAATGTGTCATGCTACTTTAGCCACAGGGTGGCTTGGCTCTCGAGATGGTGTGTTCATCACTACTTTCTGGACTGAAATATCTCAACAACTTTTGGATGGATTTTTTTTGTGAAGACATTCATTCAGTGTTTTGGTCATGGATTCAGCTGAATAGATTAGATTTGACAAAATGCAAACAGTCACATAATAGGCAGAAATGAATCGAGCTGCTGACAGTGTGCAGTAATTCTCCTTGTTTCCTGGTTTTCTTCTCAATATTTGTGTCTTGAAGCAAAACTCAGTAAGACTGGATACACTAGCATGATAAATCACACTTAAAATGGAATAAAAACAATTTGATTCATAGTGTCTACAGTAAAATATCTGTAACCAACCTTTTTCAGGTGACTAAATGAGTTTTTGAATATATTTTTAGTCATGCTAGCGCCATGGCTCTAGGGATGCCATTGTTGATATGTTGCTAGCACTTTGGTCCAGACTGAAATATCTCAAGAGCTATTGGAGGACACAGGATGAAACTAATGATCTTAATGGTGCCCTTTCTTTTCCCACATGGACCACAATGAGGTTCATATTCATGCGTTTGAGTGAAATGTCTCAACAGTTACTAGATTGGATTGCCATGGAGTTGTTATTTCATGCCCCCCTCAAGATGAAGTGTAATAACTTTGGTAATCCTCTGACTTTTCATCTGGCACCATCAGCAGGTCAACACTTACTGATGGCACTTGGGATGAAGGACTTCTTAAATACATTTTATACTCTATATCTATCCAGAGGGACTCTATAGCGCCTCCCAGAGCTCAAGAGCTCAAACTGGCTAAAGAGAGGATGTGAGCTATCTGCCAAGATACTCCTTGCTTTCTTCCTCATCCTTTCTGTAAAGAGTTGGGTCAAGGGCTTTTGTGGCTTTCCGACTATTTTACTTGCCATTGTCACAATCCTAGAGTTTATTCTTGAATGTACAGTTAAGATGACTGTACCGGGAAGGTGAAAAGTTAAAACACTCCATATATTTGTGCACTAATTCTAAAAACTGCTGACTAACACCAAGGCCACTGTGTTTCCTAAGGAGATAAGTTGCTGTGAGCATCTCTTGAAAAAATACTTAGTATTTCCAGAGAGTTTCAACAGGTTGGCCATTGAGTGAAACCAGCTCTGTCCTCAGATCTTGTTTCATGTAAATAATTAATTATTTAGTCTTGGCCTCATTATTTTTCAAACTTGATTATGCAACACCATGTTTGAAGGGCCCTAGTGCAGGCCAGGTAGGCAACTTCACCTGATGGGTTTATTTTCTGTAAAAGACCAACTAAGGCCATGTCATCAACACATTTAAACAATCTTCAATATTTCTCATTGATCATAAATTCATTAGTAAACAGAAAGAATAGCACAGGACAGAACACATCCTTGTGGGCAGCCTGTGCTCACAGTGAGCACATCTGACATCCTCCTCCTGATACAGACTTTCTGTGGACAGCATGTAAGAAAGTCTCTGATCCAGAGAACTGACGCTGTTCTAATGTTAAGATCCACTAGCCTTCTCAGGAGTTTGTGTCATCGTTGAGTTAGAAGCTGAACTAAAATCCACAAATAAAACCCTGGCAAATCCTTTACAATGTATAAGGTGTTTTGTAATTGTATTAAGCAGTCAGCACAGCGTTGTCTGTGCCTGTGTTGCTCTTATATGCAAACTGGAGTGGGTCTAGCAAAGTGGCCACAGAATTGTTCAGGTGGCTGGCCAGAACATGTTCCATTGTTCTACACAGACTGGAAATCACTTGGTATCCTTTCGCCTGTATTTTTTGGCACTGGCCTAATTATTGAGACTTTCCATGATTTTGGCACTGTGCATGTGTCTAGGAGAGACTGAAACAAAAACTCCTTTTAGTTAAGCAGCTCAGTCTTTAAGAAGTTGGGCTTTTAGATCATCTGTGCCAGTGGTCTTATTTGGCTTCAGTTAAAAAAGACTTGCAGCAACATCATCTTCACTGATGTCTGTGCAGTGAGGTTTTTGCATATTTCCTCACATTCTGTCCTGCCATCCACAGTGTCAAATCTACCGTAAAAACTGTTCAGATCATTAATAAAGTTCTGAATATTACTTACTTACTTAATTTATCAAATACTTAAGTTTAGGACCAAATACCTGCAAAACTAACAACAATTCCACCAGCTTGGCTCTACATTGTGTTTAGTGCTAATCAACATACAGCTTAATGTTGGCATGCTTAGATGGTGGACAGGATACATATTACCCTGCATGTTTTGATTGTACTTGGAATTCCAATAGCATAAGAAGTCACTCACTCCACTCTAGCTGCATTTAGAAACGTATCTTCTTTTAGGCTATATATATATATATATATATATATGTTTTTGTTGGTAACACTATATTTTAACTCTTACTTGTTAGCATATGTAAGATGATTTATAACACAGCAGATACAAGTCTTGATTAATGTAACCATAACTCCTCCTGTGTAAACAGACAATAAGTGACAATGTAGTAAAGCACAGTTAATATAATATAAAATATATCTTTATAAGAAAAGTTATAATTGCTGCCAAACACTGTACATTTGTAAGATTTTACTAAATGTTGTATACTGTTGATAACTGCTAAATAGAGGGGCTTTAAGTTAAGTGCTTTTATTATTTCTACATCTACAAGAGGTGTTTCTAACATTGGTAGGCACTTATATCATTCATGCAGAGCACTTTGTGTTTTATCTATCAAAGGTCATTGTAGATAAAGTATGATGATCCTGTTTTTACTGCATCCTGACTGTACAGGTAGAACAGAAATGTGGTGCTTTTTTATGGCAGCAGTTTTTATTTGTTCAATAATGCATTCCTCGAAGAACTCACGGCCCTCTTTTATTCAGGACTGTTAAATCTCGAGGACAGACTTGTATAATGTATTATATTAAGGTGCAAAGTGTTTTAAAATGAAATGCACTGTATGTTTTATGTTCATACAACCAGGATTATCAGCTTTGAAAATGTAGGTACATGTCAATTCTTCTGTGTAAAAAATCAAGTGTCAGTTATGTAATGTGGCCCTCTCTCTCTCCACCCCTCTGTCAGTGGTGTGATTTCGGGCCTCAGCTCCTCACTGCCTGAGCACCACCACTATACAGCACTATATAGTGTCATGGTGGGAGCCGACTTCCTATTGGTGCTTTGGACCTTGTGTCACCTTTCCCCCTGCGGGAAGCCACGCCCCCCTTTCGGAGGCCTTTGCGCGCGGCTTGTGTGTGTGTGTGTGTGTGTGTGTGTGTGTGTGTGTGTGTGTGTGTGTGTGTGTGTGTGTGTGTGTGTGAGAGAGAGAGCGAGAGAGAGAGAGAGAGAGAGAGAGAGAGGTTGTGAAGGCTACAGTATCATTGCTTTGACTGTGTGTGGACTCTGGTCTCTCAGGTTGAGTGAGGAGAAGGAAACTCTGGCACACTTTGTGTTGTAACCATGGATCACAGCTTGGTGAGAATGAACCTTTACTTAATTCCCCTTTTAAATGATCTACTTATTTTTGTTTTTCAGTGCCTGAGAGCTGCTATATTCCTTGAAGAACTGCTCAGTCTTAGTCAGATTGGGAGATTTTATTTATTTACTCAGCATTTCTCCTTTATTCTTTTCTGTTGTTGAACTTAAGTGTACTGTAACTCATTGATAATGCATGTTATATGGCAAAATTAAAATGAGGGGAAACTATTGCTTTTGATTAAAATTAGAACCTTCACTGTTAGTCATGTCTCCATGTTGCATGTATTTCTTGCAGATAATCCCAGTAGTGGTAGGTGTTTGTGTGGTGGTGGTGACCGTGCTGTACTTCCTCCTGGGAGGCTCAGCAGGTGAGAAGAAGAAGAAGCTGCCTGTCACTCTGCAGGATCCTACGGTCAAATATTCCCTTCCTCTTTTAGACAAACAGGTAAACTGCATACGGACACAGACATTTAACAAAGAATTAGCACTATATTCTTGCAGACACATTGACATGCAGACCTGATTATACAACAATTTATATTCAACTGCTGTACACCAGTCAGAACAATGTTAATCATTTCTGAAGACCCTTATTTCATTTGTTAACACTGACATAAAGCAAGAAATACAAATGCACACTCTACCATTTAACTCTTGTGACGCTCATATTTTGGCATTCTACACGTATCATAACCTCATGTCTGATTATAGGGTCGATTTTCCCAAACACATTTTCTTTTCTTACCTAGTCACGGAGAGCATTTTGGATTCTTTCTTTTCTTTTCTTTTTTTCCAATCCTAGATTTCTGGCCACTGGAGGTTTATTGAATTTCAATGGTGCTCACAGCACTGGGAAAAATAAGATATAAAAGAATAAAAATCAGCATCTCTTTCCAGAAACATTCTCCCTGTTAATCTGTAATACCCACTGATCACAACAATTTAGTGTAGCATCAGCTTTTTAAAAACCTCAAAATATTCTGCAGTCTCATTCAACTTTTCAGAAAAATTCAAAGTAATTAGACTCATTTCTACTTTTCAACTATTCCTACAACTTCACCTTATTCTCATGCATTATAAGCCAACTTTGCAGTGTAGTGTCAGCTTCTCCAGAAAATTTACATTTTCCCCATTTTTTTTTTACATCATTGGTATTATTCAACTGTTAAAGTCAGCATTGCAGTGCAGCATCAGCATCCACACATGCAGTTTCGTAGGAGAGTGCATTCTCTAGTTTGTTTCTAATTTACTTAATATGTTTTTGTTAGCCTATTGTTTTTCTGTTAAAGCATTTTATGAAGAGATTATACTGGTATTGTAATTTGGTAAATATACAAATGCAACATGAAGATAATTAGTGCATTTACAAAACAGATTAGAGACACCATTCTCATTTAGGATTTATGAAAAAATAACACAATAGAAAAAAGAAAGGAAAAACAGAGAGAGGGAAATGAAGCACCCAACCCACCCAACTTAAGCCTAATATTTACAATAATTCTGTTTTCCTACAGGGGGCAAATTTTCACATCTACAGTATATGTTGAATTTCCCCTCGTTCATTATAGATTAGCTATATATACATCAGGTATACTGTGTAAGCACCACCCTGTCTAAAAGTATCCTTGCAAACTAGCAAGCACGATTTACACACTCTTTGTTTTTGTACTTTGCTCTAACCTGTGTCCTTATACAGGAAATCAGCCATGACACAAAAAAATTTCGGTTTGGCCTTCCATCTGCAACTCACGTCCTTGGACTGCCAGTAGGTACTGAAACAGCATCTTTCCCAAGATTAAACTCTCTAGAATGATTACTAGAATGATTTTCTGCTTTAAGGTGTTTTAAAGTATTTTGGGGAGATGTTAGTGTTTACACATTTATTTCTGAGAAACAGTAGTATAGTATTTCTTTGTACCTCTTATGAATCTCTAGCACTTAAGGCCTTATAAGTGCTAAGTGTTGGCCCATCTTGATCTTTGATTCTAAGTATCTGACATATGGCAATAAATGAGATTACAATATGAGATATCTTGCTCTGTTTGTAGTGACTCTACTGACTGAGCTGCAACATATCAAATTATATGAAGTGATCAACTAAATGGTCAGAAAAACTGATGGCATTGTACGTTTCTACAAACCAGGGTTACATTACATTGGTAGATAAGCTGAAACTTTACAGTTCAACAACGCTATGGTTAACGTGTGGTTAGGTTTAGACACCAAAACCACTTGGTCATGGTAAGGAAAAGCTCATGTCTGGGTTTAAAAAACATGGTTTGGTACCACAATCACAGCTTGTGTGAAAGAAAGAAAATAAAAATGCTTTTTATGGCACTATGTCGACTGGAAAAGTAGTGATGTTCTGGTAAAAAAAAATCACTTCACCTGGCACTATCCTGGCAGGAAATGCAGCTATGTCTCAGCAAGAAAACAGTTGCTTTTTGCGGCGCTATCCTGGTTGGTGGTATACAGCGTTGTGTCATGGCAGCCGACATTGGGAAGGGTATCGCCAGACTGTCGCAGGGCTAACGCATAGAGACAGACAATCATTCACACTCACATTCACAGCCAATTTAGAGTCACCAATTAACCTATCCGCAACCTGCATGTCTTTGGACTGTGGGAGGAAGCCGGAGTACCCTGAGAAAACCCATGCTGACACGGGGAGAACATGCACAATCTGCACAGAAGGGCTCCCTCCTGGGATCGAACCAGGAACCCTCTTGCTGTGAGGCGATAGTGCTAACCACTAGACCACCGTGCCGCCTACACCACTTGAGAAATGCTGATATGATACATACGCAACATTGAAATGTAATGTATACATGGTTTGCATAAAGGCACAATGCCAACATTTTCTTCTGGCGACTGGGCTGGATAGGTAAAAGACTAGATATTGAGCGGCCAGTTTTTCCAAAGATAGCATATGCTGGTGTGTTAGAAATGTATTATAGTCCTACATTACAATTAAACAATAGTACACTGATGAGGTGAGTGAAGTAGTTGAAAAGGGTTAAATACAGCTTGTTCCTATCAGAGGACAGCCCTCATTTTCTATCAGTGCTTCGGTATTTTTCCCATCCTCTTAAATCCACCACTTCACCCATCCTCCCTTCTTGTCCTCCACCTCTGTCCTCTGCACCAGGTCAGCATGTGTACCTGTCAGCCAGGGTGAACGGCAGTCTGGTGGTCAGAGCCTACACTCCAGTATCCAGTGACGAGGACCAGGGATATGTTGACCTTGTGGTCAAGGTAATTAATAGTCTACTATTTGAGAAGCAACACTTCTATCATTTAACTTGTAAGAAAGAGTTTATATGTTGTAATTAATGGCTGTGCTAGTGCAAATAAGTAGGGGAGAGCAGGGTTGGTTTGGACAGGGGGACAGTTAGGACAGTGCCTTTTAGCAAGTTAGAAAACAACTTTGCCTCACCATGCTCATACTCAGGCATTCACACTCACTCACAGTTCTGATTTACTGGGCAGTTGATGCCAATGTTAGCTGTTAAACTTTCAATATAAATGAGGTTTTTTTTAGCCAAGAACAAGGTGTACTCGTCCCTGGGGAGGCAGAATTTGGGAACATGCACTCCTTGTACATTCAACATATTTTGTGTTCCAGGTTTGGTTTGGGCTTTTAGATTATTTATAGATTATAGATTATTTTGGATTGTGGACCAAACGGTCTTTTTAGTGTATTGAAGGAATTCCTGATGATTTGAAAAGATAAAAAAAGACAGAGATTTTGAAGAGTTTTAAAGTCAGGGACTACAGAGACCGATACAGAGCTAAAAGAAGAGTGAATGTTGAACTTTCATTGGCAAGAAATCATGACTCTAAATGAATGCCAGTGTTGCTCCTTGTTTGCACAATGTGCAACTAAGCTATTGTCTGCTAACGCACTAGCGATATCAATTTTCTAAGGTGATAACAAACCAATACATGATAATACGTGATATATACAAAAGAGTTCATCAAGGTTTAAGTGGATAGATTTTATTTTTTGGATACTGCTTGTCAAAAAACAAAAGGCATCCATACCTTGCAGCATGGGCGGACCATGCGACAAAAGGGCCCCTGGGCACAGACATGCAGAAGGCCCCACCACCTCTTCTACATAGGAGCAAGACACACAGACTTTATCATTATATAGCCTCTTTGTGATGTTGTTTTGCATTTCTTTGTAGTTGGTTCACATCTCTATAGAGTTTTGTGCCTCTTTGTGGTAATTTTGTGTCTCCGTTTAGTTGATTTGCATCTTTTTGTTGTCTTTTTGTGTCTCTGTGTGGTTGCTTTAAGTCTCATTGTGGTCATTTGTTTCTCTTTATAGTTATTTTAAATGTTTGTAGTTGCTTAGCATCTCATTTTGTGTCTCTTTGTGGTTGTTTTACCCCTTTCTGTAGTTATTGTGAGTCTCTTTGTGTCTATTGCTGTTTTGTGTCTCTTTGTGGTCTCTTTCTGCCTTTTTGTTGTTTTTATTTTCTCTGTGGTCATTTTAAGTCTTTCTTTTTTTTCTATTACTGTAATTTGAGTGACATTTTGTAGGTAAAGACAGGGGGAACCCTGACATTTTGAGCCCCCAGGCCTGTTTATTAATCCATCCATGCCTTGCAGAACAAACTATTGGCTATGCTAATGATTCTAGAGGTAATTTTTGATGCCCCGTAGAAGCAATAATGAGCCAAAAACAGATTCAGATAGTTGTTTCCTCTTTGTAACTCCAGGTGTACTACAAGAACTGCCACCCCTCCTTCCCAGATGGAGGGAAGATGTCTCAGTACCTGGACAACATGGCTATTGGAGACGCCATGGACTTCAGAGGACCCAATGGACTGCTTGTGTATAAGGGAAATGGTATGACGTGTGTGCATGTGTGTGTGTGAGAAAGAGACAGAGAGAGAGAGGGAGAGACAGAGAGAGAGAGAGGGAGAGAGAGTATGCATGTGTGAAAAGGAAAGATAAAGAAAGTATAATGTAAACATTCAATATGTTTCAAGCTGCTGCCACCACCAGATGTCACTGTGGTACAATATAAGACTGTATGAGCAGCTCAGGCTGCCAAACACATGCTGAGACTTACTCTCTTCATTCAGGTCAGTTCTCCATCCGACCAGACAAGAAGTCAGAGCCAAAAGTTCGGAAATTCAAGCACATTGGGATGATCGCTGGAGGAACAGGTTCATTCACATTTCTGTGAACTTTCAATCATTATATTGTACATGAAAGCATACACTATCCAGAGGAGCATCACAGAGGCTCAGCAGGCTGAAATCTCTGCAGAATCAAATATTCTTCTTTTTGAGGGAGAAATTAAGGGGTTCCCTAAGTGTACTCACTGGTATTAATACTTTGCATCACAGATCTATACAGTGGAGTAGCACCACATTCTGGGCCCTATGCATGAGCAGTCTCTGTGGGCCCCCCTGCCCTTCCTCTCCAAATTCGTGTCTCTCTAACGCTGAATTTTTCTCTCTGAATTTTTTTTTTTTTTTTTACACTGTCAGTTTGCTTTCTTTCCCTTTCTTTTAATTCTTTTTTTGCTTTTTTTGGAGCCCCAATTTCCTTTTTTGGGGAAAGACATAACAAGCATCACTCAGCTCTAGCTGTATTTACAAATGAATCCTATTGCAGGGCCAGACTAAACCATTTGGCGTTTTGAAGGGGTGAGAGGGGCCTGAGAAAGATTCCACTATTTTTTCTTTTATATGAAGTTCAGTCTTTTGACCAATTATGGCACTAATTACTTAGGAATAAAAACTGCAAACAATACCAAACTTTTTATTCCAGGCTTTTCATGGTCCCCCGTCCCATGGGGCCCTGGGTAATGAGCCCCACTTTTCCCCCTGCTACAACGTCCCTGGATGTGCAACTGGATACTATATGTTATTGGATTGTTATGTAGATGATGAGTGGGAAAAGAATAGTTCATTAAGTATATTGTGGCCTTTCTATTATATAGCACATAAATTGCACCCAAAACTGTAACACAGTATAACTGTCATGACCAGTTGATGATACTGTCTTTGCAGCCTCACTGTAAGCAATATAATTTTCTAGAAAAAATTGAAAAGGCAACATTGTACTTACCCTCAGTTAGATATGAATCATCCTCTGAGACTAAGTTTGTCATTTACTATGACAGGTATCACTCCTATGCTGCAGTTAATCCGCAGCATCACAGCAGACCCCAGTGACAACACCATGTGCTCCCTCATATTTGCCAACCAGGTCAGCAGCTCTGTGTGGTATATTGTTCTGGGAAATCTTTCCTTGTGTCTTACTGTTAAAAGTTTTACTGCTCATAAATGAAAGACACTCTGGAGAAATAAAATCTCTTTCACTTGCTCCCTCTCAGACTGAGAAAGATATTCTCCTCAGGAAGGAGCTGGAAGAGGTGAAGAAAAACCACCCTGATAAAGTCAAGCTGTGGTTTACACTGGACAAACCTCCACAAGGTAAGACAGCATTTCTTCAACTATGGACCTAATAACAGGGTACCTGGTGGACCTTTACTCATTATAAGCTGCCTTGTGTTTTAAAAGTGCAGAACAGGTGCTGTCCCTTCAGTAGAAATATAGCTAAAGCTTACAGAGTTTTAATTATTAAGTATTAATAATATTACCTCTGACCAAAAACAAACAGGTTTTGTGTGTAATGTGGTCACACTAGTACGATACATTAACAGCAGAAAAATTATACTATGCTTTAAACGCAGACAGTATAAAAATAACGGGAGTAGCTACCAAGACGTCACCCATTGGTTTGTGGACTCCCGTTTTCAAAGTTGGCCCGAGGGGATCATACTGTGGAGAGGCAAGGGGTGGATCTCACAGAGAAGCTGAGGATGGACACACACACACACACACACACACACACACACACACACACACACACACACACACACACAGCCCACACTTAATTATGCGTAACTTTAAGCCTTAATAAAATATAAACGGGTGAGGGGAGTACTGTTGCCATGAGGGGGGGTACTTGGTCTGCAATGGTGTTTGAGTGGGTGGAACATATCAGGTGGTATCCACATGAATACCAGAACCAAAGGTTTCCCAGCAGAACGATGAATTGGAACACAATAATCAATAATCACTTAACCTGTCAGTGGTTTTGGCTGATCGGTGTATATGAAATGGGGGCTTTAGGGGTCCATATAATGAAAACAAGTAGTGCACACAACTCCAAAAAATCTTAAACAATATGTAGAGAAATCCATAAACAAACCACATGCTCTAAATATTGAGGGGGATTTGTCCTTTGCATCTCCCCAAAATCTATGACCACAACAAACCACAAAGAAGCTGGGATCACAGCACACAGAGGTAGTATCCTGACTCCAGTTTCTTCAACACATGTGGGTATTAGCGCAGTGCCAGGCTATATGAGTCTGAATGAATCAGTCTCAAAGCTCAGCCCTTTAGTTCACTGCTGAATATTCACAGTGGGAAACCAAACAAAGACCCCTCAGCTGAAGGAAAATCTCTGCAGGCTCAGGAAGGAGATAGCTCCAACAAGGTGTTACAGTCGCTTAGCAAAACACTCATGTCTTCCCTTCTATAATCCTTAAAGCGAGAAGAAATTAATGAGCATAATATTGTTACATAATCTCTGCTATGAAGGCCTTGAACGCTGCTCGTAGTCGGTCTCGTCTTTCATTAGTCCCACGCAGAATAGAAGCACATTGGCCCTTGATCATTATTCATTGAAAGAGGTGTACTTGCTCTTTGTTGGCAGTGTCATTATTTGGTTGCCTTGCAGGGAGAGAAGACTATCTGTGGATGAAAGCACAAGTTGAACAGACCTTGTCATGCTTCTTGTTAATAATGGCTTCACTGACCACCAGCTGAAATCTTTATCTTCTCCTGGAAATTAAAAAAAAAGAAAAAAGCACATCATTTCATTAATATTTTCATTCTTTCTTTGAATGTCCCATCTTTTATAGCTTAGAAGATCTTCTCTTTGTTCTGCTCACCCTTCACTATTAGGCATCCATTTCCTGCAGCACAAAGGAAGTAGAGATATTAAAATGATAGCAGCAGGTGTTCAATATTTAGTATTTAGAGTTGAAGTGAAAAGGGGAGGCTTCCCTCGTGAATAACTGTATAATAAGCCACATTACACCAGCACAAAAGCAAGATGGCAGTGATTCACCTTTTGACTGTAAATACACCAAACAGCTGCATCAAAAAGTGAATTTTTTTTTTATAGAAAAAAGCATGTGTTTCCATATAGAATTTTCACAGCTATGAAAAAGATTCAGTGTTAAGTCTGAGGTTGATACTCCTTTCTTTCTCTCTCTCTTTTGCTGTGTCTTCAAGATTGGAGCTACAGTTCAGGGTTTGTGACCTCTGACATGATCAAGGACCATCTCCCTGCTCCGTCTAACGATGTCCTTGTTGTCCTGTGCGGTCCTCCACCGATGATCCAGTACGCCTGTCTGCCAAATCTGGACAAGCTGGGACACAAAACGGAAAACATCTTTGCATACTAGTGTTATGATTGACTATGAAACTGTATTTCATGTTCAACCAATCATGAAACCAAACATCACTGTGCACAGTTAATGTTTTGACTTCATGCTTTTCATGTAGGCATGTGTCCATTTTTGACGTCAGTGACACTAGAATGCAAACCTGTCACATTAAATGGGTGCATAATTGCCATCATCTCAGGTGTGCTGTTATATACAGTATTTCAGCAAACCCTGTGATCACCTTTTGTACAAGATACACTTTCAAAATGAATCTCTTTTTTAGGCAAAATGTGAATTCATGTGAAATAAAGATATAAAAAGTAGTGTTGAATTAATGCTTAATGCTACATATGCGTAGGTCAAAGTATGTACTGCAGTTCTACAGTTTTTACGTGAAACTCCCAAGTGTTCTGACTTGTCAATAAGCTGTTGTATACTCAAATACTCAAATAACTGTACCTAACATGAACTTAATACTATATACAAGTATTCCATGTTTATGTAATGTAAAACATTACTATCAGAATCAGGTTTATTGGTGTTTGCTGCTTAATAACAATAAAAGAAAATAATAAATAACAAAAGAGCAAATTATGCAAAAGTCAAGTAACACAACAAAAAAAAGAATAGAAAAGTTACAACTGAAAATGAAAATATAGCCAAAAGCTGCCATTCTGGCTTCAAGCCCTTTCACGGTCAACAGAATGAAGCAGCTCAAATGCCAAAATCAAAGCAGCAGCGAGCCAGTTTTAGGCTTCACAAAGCCGAGCAAAGTCACTTTAACTGGTTTAATTTGTCAGAAGTAGTTCGACTAATCACATACTTGTTCCATCATTAAAAAGTATGCAGCATATCCATAACTGCACACCAGAGACTGTATATAAAGATGGATGACATGACAGAAACATCTGGATCGCCTCCTGCTGACTGGCTGCAGTACAGGTCATAAAGCATGCCCTCCCCATGTTAGTGGATGGGACATAGGCCAAGTTAACATCAAATAAATTTTTCCCAAAGATTGTTTTTGATAATTTACAGTAGTTTTTTTTATCACGCTGCTGTTTGTTCAATTGTTTGTTTTTCTTATAAGTTTGGTTTGAGTTACTTATTTAGTGCCATAAAACAGGGATTTTACGTCATGATTGACAACTGTGTGAAAGAATCGGTGGGCCTGCACTGATTGGCACTGCTGCAATAGGTCAGACAGGTGTATGGGTGGGAAATTTGATACTGTGGAGATCGCTTTCGTGCAGACTCTGGCTCCAAATGACATCTCTAGAGCAACATGGCAGCGGTCATATCCAGGATATTTCAGTTTCATTTCTGTGCAGTGGGGGTAAGTGGAGACATGTTGCCCATCTTTACATACAGTCTATGCTGCACACACAAAGTCCCACTATTTGCCCCTTTGAGCCAGACTGAAAATGCTAAGTGGGCCTGTTCCCCAAAACATACTGAGGATATCTACCAAGATTAATGATAACTGGACAAATCATTATGAGCTGTGGCTAATGTCCCCCCCGCTCTTTATGTTTTTAATTAATGGCAGCCATGTTTTTTCTTAACAGTCTTGCTCATTTATGATAAACCTGTGTACCAGATTTGGAGTTGATAGAGTTAGACTCAAATCCAAAAAATATCTGTCACATAAATGTTTTTCTTATCATGCAAATTAGCAAAAATCCATCATGAGGGACTTAATGGTCCAAGATGCTTGTTGTAGAGCACACTGAGCTGGGATATTCTGTCAAATTCCAAGTCAATCAGACTCACAGCGTGAGGGCCGTGGCCTTTCCACATACTTAACACATTTTGGGTTTAAATTACAGCACCACCATGTGGCCAATTAGAATTACATTTCTTGGGAAGCGTTTGTAAATCATTTCCAGTTATTGAGCCAAGTTTCATGTTTCCAGCTCGTTCCAGCTCAGACAATTTGAGTTGTAGTTGAAGACAACGATTAATAATAGACTGGCACAAACTTTGGGGGCTTGGACCCTAAGACTAGTTTGTATATATGTAAAATATATCTGTTTTATGTTGTGTTCATGCCAAACACAATGCTAGTTTTTGCATCACATTACTCGAGTTTGATTCATTCATTCATTTTCCGTAACCGCTTATCTTGTTAGGGGTCATGGGGGGGCTGGAGCCTATGGAGGAGCCTGGAGTTGCTGTGAGGCAACAATGCTGATGCATGCGAATAACTCGCATCATACATGCATGAAATCGTGGGTACGTGAGTGCCCAAAAGACACAAATTTTCTCAAGAGAGGAGGGGCTTCCTCCAGCCACCATTTTTCAGTCTGTTATCAGTGACTATGGTTGGGCTTGACTACATTGCAAGGGTTGCTGCTTTGTACCTGCTGTGGAAGGCCCAAAACCGTCGGAGATCCAGTAGTGCTAACTTGCTAGTACAACCGATAGCTGGAATCATGTAACAGCTGAATGTTTTCATAATTTTCCAGATAATCTGACCTCCTCACTCACTTTCCTCCAAGCGAGCTCCTTTTTATTTCTGTTTCCATAAAAGTAGGACTTGGTGTCATACAGCTCTGGGTAGCCACAGACTGACATGATGAACTTCTCCTTTTTCTGATGAATGAAATTCTGCTGGTATGTCCTCAGTGTCAAACTTCCCCGGAGGATGTCAGATTTTTCAACTACTACTACAACAACTGCTACTCACATCCATCACTTCCATTGCGTCCATTGCGCTGCCTGGCAGGAATTGGTATCTAATCGCGCCTCTACATTGACTTAACATGTGATTCACTCACACAAATTATTTTATTCACACCAAAAGCAATGCAAAGTTTAACACTGTGTTACTCGAGTTTGAATGCTAGAATATTTTGTGTTGATTTGCGTCATATGTGCGAATAACTTGTGTCATACATGCATGAAATCACTGAACTTCCGGCGGTCCGCATTGGTGACGTACGTCCTTGGAGGATCTCAATGCTGATTGGCTATCATGGCACAAACTGGTAGCTGAAATTCAGATTTTTTTTTAACTCTCACAAAAAAGTGTATGATGCAAAATCACACTATTCATGCACTGCTTAATTCATGTATGTTGCATCATTCGCGTCGCATCCATCACGTCCATCACGCTGCCTGGCGGGAATTTGTGTCTCACTACATCTTTACATTGACTTCACTCGCATGAATTGTTTTATTTGCGCCCTGTGTGAACACAACATTAAAATGAAAGAGCTGTACATTTTATTAAGGAATGTGCAAAATACTTACCAAGGAATATTCAAAAGTTCACAGTGTGAAATATAAAGAATATGTGTAATGTACTAACAAATGTTACACACAGGGACAGATACAGAGGCTTTAAGTTGATGTAAACATTTGTTTGTGCTAAAATATTTTTCTAAATTCTCCTGTGAGACTATTACATTACATTTCTTTAGCTGATGCTTTTATCCACACAGTGACTTAAGATACATAAGTGCATCAACTATGTGGATGCAATCCCAAAATAGCAGAAATCATGCATTACAGCCAAACAAACTGCAGCAATAGACCCTAATATATTAGCCTAGGATTCAAAATGAAGTCATGATATGTAATTTTTACTCAAAATTATGATACACTGACTCAAGCACAACAAAAATAACAGTCATATAAGACCAATACCACCAAAGGAGATGTAGTAGCACAATTGAATTGATGTATTTTGCATAATTAGGCTGTTATCTGAAGTAATTTGTCAGGTATGGTCGGATGCTCCAGAACAATGAGTGAGTTGACTTTGAGTGGCAGAGATGGTTTAGTTAATACTGTACAGAATTTAGTTCAAAAGTCACATTGAGCAAATACTATTTCCGACATCCCTTGAAGGCATCACCGCAAAGTGGGCGTGTTTCTCTTCACCAACATGTCGGCATAGGAGTTTTCATCAAAACTTTACACTCAATATTTAATACATTTAGACGTCTAGCAGTTAGCAGTCAGAGGAATATGGTGTGTGAGAGTGGCATAGACATATTTAAGCCCTTTCACAATGCTTTATGGCGTAAGTTTATAGTTTTAATGGTATTTGTCAGCATAAACTTCCCGGTGTGTGACAGTGAAGGAATCAAGTCAGAGAGATGTCTCATCTGGGGTCCAGGGCTGAACCCCGACTCTGTTTTACCAGTCCGCTACTTCTTTATTCAGGCGGTCAATTCAAACGGACACAACCTGACCTTATCTCCAGGTAAACAGACCACAAACACCTCGTGTGCTCAAAGTGTTAAACACTGAATCACTGACACGCTAGAGCGGCTGCTGCCAAATGGCTAAGCTAGCTAATTCCCCTGCGCATCATTTCTTGAGATTAACATAACATTAACATAATGTATACATTATCAGCAGATGTACACTACGTTCAACAGTGGTTTGTTCGGGTTATTGTCGACGAAACCTGAGTAGGTAACACAGCAAATTTCCAGACCTACAGTCTCATTTAGCCTCCAAAACTGTTCTAGTGCTCATTTCAGTCATGCTCAGTAAGGTTTTTTGTGTCTCTGGCTGACAACAGGGGGTCATGTATGTAGGCAGGGGCCTCTACACACAATTTAATGGAAGTCTTTGCCATTAACGAAGCCCTGCAACAACAGGGCATCAAGTAATACTGGTCACTGAAATGTCTCTTTCATGTGCTGTGTAGGTAAAGACACATTTAAAGTGAGGATAAGTCCATTGGACAAGAAGGAGCACATCCGTATCCATGTCCCTCCACCCCTGGACAGAGGAGACGGCTCCTTCCTGGTGAGATACCGGCTCTACGGCTCTGTGCTGAAGGGCCTGAAGGTTGAGGTCCTCCACCAAGATGCTGCTGTTGCCAAGTCACCCTACATCGTCCAAGGTTTGTGCTGTGTCATGCATTAATAAACACCAGCACACATTAATTAGTTTGCTCAAGTTTTTTTTATTAGTATTGTCCAGCATCACAGAAAGGCTTTGGAATCAGTGCAGTTTATAATCATAATCGCTGTCCTAAATACAGGTAAAAACAATAAAAAAATAAAACAAGATCTATAACAGGAAAAAGGGAAGTAAGGAAGGATCTCTTGCAGGGCGGACAGACACGGTCATGTTGACGCAAATAAAAGTAATATTGCAATATTGTGGCCAGTTTGCAGTTGTGCTTCACTTCTTGTCACAAAACTTCCTCAATAAAGCACACCGGATGCTTTAAAACATGAAGAAACTGTGCAACCATGAGTCCATCCTGTCTCAAAAAAGTTAGAGTTGCATTGTTTTTATCACATGCCTCCATGGTGAACGGAGAATCCAGAAAAGGTGAACATTCTTCATGAGTTGA